AATACTAGTTGACCCATGATTTCTTGGATTTTCACTCTTGTTTCCCTAGGTATGTTTGATTTTTGTTTAAGGATAAACAAAGTTTTAAGTTGGAGAGAGTTGATAAGTTCCAAATTATAGTTATTTCTAGTGTGAATAATTGACACTTATTGGCTTGATTAATTGGTTTTACTAGTGAAAACCTCGACTTTAGTGTGAATAAGTAGTTGTTTAGCATTATAGTGTGGTTTTCGTCAGTTTGTGTAAATATTATATCAATTGATTGTTTTTATCTCAATTTTTGTAGGTATTAAAGCATGATATTTTCTCATTTTAACATGGATCACTGCATTAGATTTCTAACAATTCTGACTGTGCGTAAATCGGAGTTACAGTTATCGAGTTATGGGAAAAACAATAACTGATTTTTCTCAGTACAACTAGGGCTGGAAATGAGTCAAGATGAGTTGAACATTAGTTCAACTCGTATTGACTCGATAATAATTAGTTCAACTCAAAACTCGACTCGAGTTCATCACGAAAAATTTTCAGCTTGAACTCGACTCGTTCAAAGTTCACAAAAAACTTGGTTCAACTCGATAACTCAAACTTGGTCCGACTTAATAGTTCAAAAATGGACAAAAAAATTTATAAAAAATTTTAATTTTTTTTACTAAGGACCATTTAATTTAAAACTCTGCCCAATGAACTTTTTTTTAGAAGAGAAAGTGTCTCAAAACTCTTGGATATAACTCATGTGAGTTATGAGCTCTATATATAGGAGAATAAGAGAAGGTAAGGAAGTGGATTTTTCAATGTGAGACTTTAATAGTAAAGTTAAAGAGAATTAAAATAATTTTAAGAGTTAAAACTTATCTAAATAGTTAACTTTGATGAAAAACATGAAAAATAAAACAATCTTATTTGCCCTTATTATATTGATAAGAATTATAGACAATATTTATAGCTTTCAAATAATATAAGTTTCATCTCAAAATAATATTTGTAGTTCAAGATATTATCATCAAAAGTATGTAATATGAGCAAATAATAAAATGTTATAACTTAAGTTTGTAACGTTGAATTTGGATTTTTTTAATCAATAGAATTGTAAATTATTTTATCATCTTTAAAATAATATAAATAAATATGAAAACTAAGTATTGATGTCTTCATGAAACTTATATGTCGAGCCAGTTTATGAACCAAACGAATCGAACTATACATAACTCAAGTTCAACCCATTTATTTTACAAACTTAATTTTAAGTTCAAGTTCGACTCATTTGGTTCAGGAACCAAGTCCAACGAATTAACTGCCGAATCGAATTTCAAACTATTTTCGAGTTGGTTAGGTTTATTGTCAGGCCTAAGCACAACAGACTCTGCTAAGCATGGCCTGTTATGACAACCCCCTTTAAAAACCCATTTTTTGGTCATTTTACATACCCACCATAGTTCAAAACCATTCTGAAGAGTGGGAGAGATGCAAAAACAACAGGAAAGGTGATTCTTGTAGATCATCGAGACACCACAATGGATTAACTTTCCTCTCTATTCTCCTCGTCGTCATTAGAGACCATGAGTTGCTAGATACCTTTCTTGTTGAGGTTTAGTTGTAATCACCCGTACTCATATGTATTTTTCTGATTCTATTGTATGTTAATCGAGTTATTATTTGGTATTGTTGATTATCTTTGTGTTTATGTAAAACCTAGGTTTTTGATAACTTTTGATAAATCCCTTTTTGAAAAATCCTTTAAAAACCTAAGACTTAAGATTTTCAACTATCGAATACCAAACTCTGGACACGGATTTGGGATTTGATATTCGCGGGTATCAATTCATTTATGGTATTAAATTACTTGGTTGGACACGATTGAGTAATACAGTAAATCTCGTGCATTTGGTTGGACATGATCGATATCGAAGAGTGATACATGGTAATAGAAATTGATAGTGAGGTTCACGTGCATGAATTAGTTTAATATGTATGTTGTATATTTGTGTTTATTGGTCGTGGCGTTCTACGCAATTTGTGGTATTAGAACTCTTGTTTGCTTGTCTGTGCATTTTAAATGGAGAAAAATCAAGAGCCCAATATGGTTAAGTTCAAATCTACTAATTACACACTCTAGAAGACTCTCATGGAAAATATTTTGTAATGCAAAAATTTGTATGATTCTATTAAGGGTGGAAAAGGTAAACCAAGTGATAAGTTTGATTTCGAATGGAAGAATATGCATCAAAAGATAATTGGTATAATTATACAATGGTTGGAATTGAGTGTATATCCACATGTTGAAGCTGAAACTGATGCACAAAAAATGTGGAATAAATTAAAAGTTATATGAGTGCAAGAACATGCAAAATAAAGCATGTTTGATCAGAAAGCTCGTTAATATGAAATACAAGGACAATGACTCAATGGCAGAGCATATGAGTGTATTTCATAATATTGTAAATCATTTGGCAACTACTGATATTAAGTTGGATGATGAGTTGCAAGTCTTATTACTGCTTAGTTCCTTGCCTAATAACTTGGAAGTTCTTGTTGTGACACTTACTAATTAGCTCGGAATGGGAAATTGGTAATGTCAATACTTAAAGATAACATGCTTAATGAATAAGTTAGAAGAAAATAACGTGGTTTGATTATTACTCTTAACATTCTGAAGCTCTAGTTACCGAGTCAAGAGGGAGAAGCAAAACCAAAAAATTTCATAAGCGTGAAAAATTTGAGAGTCGTGGCAGGTCAAGAATCAAATCAAGAACTAGAAAAAAAAATTATATGCTACAACTGTGGCAAGGTGGGACACATAAAAATGAATTGCAGGTTTTTCAAAAGATAATATTCAAGGGGAAAATAAAGATAATGAGAATAAAAATAATAGATACGACAATATTTGCACGCGACATTAATGTCTATATTGCTTGTGATGATAGTTCCATAAACCTTGCATATCAAGATTCAACTTGGATTATTGATTCAGTTTCATTGTGTCATGGTACTCCAAGATGTGATCTTTTCTCATCTTATACTGTTGGTGATTTTGGAACAATGGTAATGAGAAATGAGGGAGTTTATGAAATTATTGGTATGAGAGATGTTTGAGTTGAAAATGGTGTTGGATTCAAGCTTAAATTGAATGGTGATTTTGGAATGGTGGTAATGGGAAAGCGATGTCTATATTTCTCCTCTGATCGCGAACAATAATCCCAACCTAAAATATATTGCTCTCACCAACACGGTTATGGGTAGGTTTCTAATGTCTTTGAAGACATATTTAATTGATTCCACAAAGTTTGTTGTCATGTGGCCACATTATCAACCCTCATCAAATGCCATAGTCCACTTCTCTACTGGAATATTATCGACCCACCTTAATACATATGCATTTGACAATCCAATTTCTTTATGGTAGTGTCTGAATGATGGATGATTTAAAGCATTACTCAGTGTTCACAATTTTTTCTGAAGACTCTTGTCTTTGATTTCTCGCATGAAGTTTTGTGCAATATGTCTAATGCAGTCGACATGCGTAGAAGGAGGATTTTGCCAACCATTATCAAAATTATTGTATGCATTCTCAATAGATGCATGTTTGTCTGAAATCAAATAGAAGTTGGGTTGTGGAGCAATGTGTGTTATGATATTTTTGAGAAAGAAACTTCAACCACCACCCGTCTCACCTTCAACCAGGGTGACGGCAATGAGAAAGACATTATTGTTGTCGTCATGTGTCACTTTCATAAGTAATGTTCCCTTATATTTCTCGTACAACAATGTTCCATCAATTTGAATAATAGATTTGTAGGATACAAAACCTTTAATGCATGGTTGAAACGCCCAAAAGAAAGGGTACATCAAGGGTGTGGAATCAGTGTCCTGTATGATCAAGCGGATCATTATTATTAGTGTAAAAAATAATCTTGCATGTAATCCGAATTAAATTAAACAATGTTAGTATTTAATCAATTTTTAATTAATTAATTATTTTAATTAAAATAAAAAAATAAAAAATGCAAAAAGGAGATGCATCAGATGTATTGGCGCCTCCTTTGAAGATCAAAGAATAGACGCCAATTGAGTTGGATTTCTTAATAAAGACACCAATTGGATTGGCTTGCCCCTATGATTTGCCTTCTAAAATGTTAAATGGGGTGTCGATTCAATTGATTTGGGCTTTGTGCTTGGATATTTTTTTATTCGAAACATAGATATTTTGAAAAATATTGGAAAACATAATTATTTTAGTATCATTGTTGGAAAACATGTATTTGACACCCTTTAAAATTGTTTCAAGTCCAAATTTAAATCATTGTTAAGTCTTGAGAGTGGTTTAATATTTAAAGAATTTTTGTGTTATTGCCAAAATAGACAAACGATTTTTGTGTTTTAGAGTTCGTAGTGGTTGTTGTCGGATACACTTGTATCAAGGATTTCTCCATATCTATTAGACAATTCAAAAGAATGATTGTAGGCATCATAAATGTTGGTTGATGGAGCAGAAGAGAGAAATGGAAGAAGGATGATGAGAGAGTCGCCAAGATTCATCGTTGTCGTCATTCCTTTTCACTCTATGACTAAACATTTTCTTAATTCAATTTCGTAAAATCTTTTATTTTAAAAAGCTATGCATTCAGTTTAAAACCTAGCTTAAAACTTGCGGGAACGAATCCTCTCCCATTAAAAGACCAAAAAATAGATTTTGTTTGTAAAAATTTCTAAACCAAAAACCAAACATGTCCTTAAGTTTCAAAATTAGTTTTATGATTTAATTTTCCAACATAAAAAATAAAGTAACACATTCATGCATACCTCATGCAAATGTCACAAGAGAAGGGAGTAATAACTGTGTAAAGGACATTAAAGTCATTTACTGAAAACAATTAGATTCGAAATCTAAAGCAGGAAAGAAAGAGTAGAACAAACGCCTGAAAAAAAAAACGAGGAAGAAAGAAAGGGCTTCCACTCAACGCGCTTTCTCTCTTCCTCTTCCTCTTCCTCTCACCCAAGCCATGAGCCTCTTCGGTATTGGCAGGTTAGCATCAAAAAGTTTCAATTTTCACTATCATTTTTTCAACTTTTTACTTTTCATTCCACTAATTACCATCAACTGATTCTTATTTGTTTGCTTGTTTTATGATCTGATCATGAATCTGTTATATTTTTCTTACAAATTGAAAAAAAAAAATTAAACCCTGATTATTTTGAACTTTTCTGCATTCAGTTTGAAAATAGTCAAAACCCTGATAGTTGTTGTTAATTTGCATGGCTAATTTTGTTTCTTCATATTCAGAAGTTAATTGTTTAGTGGTTAGTGTTGTTTTGATTTCACTGATCCATTGTAAAATTTGATTGATTTTTATTGGAGTGGAATTGAAGCTTTGTTTGTGATCAATCAAATATATATGGTTTGTTCAATTATCTCAAGTTATATTTGTTTATATTTAGAATTTAATTGAAACGCACTGACGGTGTAACGATTTTACACTTTCATTTAATCACAGTTGCTGCTTTGTTTGAAATGTTTTACTTTTATTTTTACTTCCTTTGAAGTAATACATTTGAACCATTATGATGTATTGATGGTGTAAATATTTTTATACTGAGAGTGTGTTGATAATTTTCCGATCAACTGTTCCATGAGTGTTGTGTTCAAGAGAATTATTATAAGATTGCCTTATTACTTTATGTGTATGCCGTCGTTGGCTTAATGATTTATTTTGTTTGCCGTAGCTTCCATTTTAGCGGTCTAAATTAGGATTGAGTTTAATAATATGTAGTAATATGTACTGCTGATGTATTGACAGTATAGTAACTATGTTCGTAATGATGTATTGCATAACTTTGTCTGTGCGCATTTTTTTTTGGAACATATATTTGATTAATATGACCAAACTTGCTCGAATATGAAATGGAATGAATTGGGCGAGTGGGAGATGTTATGAAATATCAATCTTAAGTAAACCGTATGGAAATTCAGTGGAATATAAAGTAAAGTAACTACTTTTATTACTAAAAGATTGAACATACTTGTTAGCTTTGATTTGAAAAACTCTATGTGAAACTTAATTGAACTAATGTCATTGCTTCGTTTAGCTACTGACGTGATTTTGGATTTTCCTGGATAGGGAACATTCTTTCTTTCTACAATATTGTTCTTTCCTTTTTCACGGCTCTTTTTGACTGACCGATGGGGGAAATCATTCCTCGAACTAGCATTTTTTTGCGCATTTCCTATGCAAGATGAACATTACGCCTATTCTCGTAATTATTGTCGAACAGGTTGAATTGCTGAGGCAGTAAATATTAATAGAATACAATGTTGTTAAATAGCGGTTACAGCAGAGCTACAGTGTGGTGGAATTTGAAAATTGAAATAATTGCCATTGTTCTGCCAGAGGCTATTTAGTATAAAATATTGTAAAATAGCAGCGCTAATGCACAGTTGCATAGCGGAATTTGATCAAGCCACTATTTTTCGTGATCCACGATTGGTAACACAGATAGTGTGCCACGTCATTGTCATCTATTCCTCATTTCTTCACTTTTGTAACTGTTAGTATTAGTATGAAAGTGAAACTTTGCATTATACTGTGCTCTTGTCACTGGTGCAAACTGTTATGTTGAATATTTTTAGTAATTCAGTTTATGCTGATCTTCTTCCATTCTACTTTGGTATTCAACCTGACAAATTATTCTGCAACAGAAACCAGAGAACATTCCGCCCAAAAAAAAGTACTCCTTCTGGAAGCAAGGTTGGTTCCCCTTATTTCTTATTTTGGTTTTAGATACGCAATTTAATGCATTTTATTTTCTCATTTCTTAAAAGTATTTAAATATTTTTTTTCTTCAAACAACTAGAGAAAGAGAAAGACCTAAAAAAAGTTATTAAGAAAGATCTCGAGATTAACGATTTGGATAGAAGCATTGATCCTGAATAGAACATTATGGCAAAAGTTGATCCTTGTAGCCGATCTCACTTAGTAGGTTAAGGCTTTGTTGTTGTTGTATTTTAATATTTTTCCTCATGTAGCGCTCGAACCTTGAATTTATAAGCAAGAGCCATATTTGTTATTAATGGAGAAAGGGGGATGCGGAAAAGAAAATCAATGAATTCAAATTAATTATAGAATGTCTCGACTTAGATACGATTTTGCTAAAGGCATCCTAAAGAGTCAAAATAATTATATAAATAAAATAAAAAATTGCTCTAGCCATTAAAATACTTTTTGTTTCCTTAAAAACTTGTTTATAAGCCAAAGGAAAGTTTCTGGTGATAAAAACATGTTTTATTGATCTTAGAAATACAATATCTAAGACCCAAAAGAGACTGTGTTGAGTCACTGAAGGCGCCGCAAATGGATGTGCTACTCATATTCTACGTATGTATTTTTCATTGCAAAATCACATGAACAGTGTTAATTTAAATATTATTATTTATGATGCACAGATACTCGAAAGTTGATTGCATATCTCTATTGGATATGTGTACATTAATGCAGCAGCTGTTGAATTTTCTGTGGAAATGCTAAAATGTTTGAAATGGGCAGTTAGTTTTTTTCCCTTTTATGTAATTTATAAATTTTGGTCTTCGTTTGAGGGATGGAGGGGCGTAGTGAAGGAGATTTTATGCATTGAGAGTGGTTGCATCTGGGAGGGAGGGGGCAGATGCATTGCAAAATTTTGTTAATATTGAATTGTTATCTTTGCTGCAATGCTTATTTGTATTGTACAATTCCAACTTCTAAAGAACTAGATTGCTAAGATCTCTTCATTGCAGTTTTATTATAATCTTCTTCCTTTATATTTTAATTGCAGGGAGCTCAGCTTAGAAAACACATTGATGCGACATTAGGTAGTGGAAATCTGAGGGAAGCAGTAAAGCTACCTCCTGGAGAGGATTTGAATGAGTGGCTAGCTGTCAACAGTAACTATCATTCTCTCTCTGATGCACTGTGAAGAGCAGTGTATACTGTTGTTGAAGTTTTCTTTTTCCTTTCATTATCTAGTTTCACCAATTATTTATTCATACAATTCTGTAATAGACTAATCTGAATTTTTTTCCTCATCTGCATTTCAGCTGTTGATTTTTTCAACCAGGTGAATCTGCTCTATGGCACCCTCACAGAGTTCTGTACTCCCGAGAATTGTCGCACAATGTCTGCAGGACCCAAGTATGGGGCCTAATTAACTGATTGCTTCCGTTATTTGCTTATACTTTCATAAATTTTGTTTGATCACATGCTATAAAATATCAGTTATCTTAGCTTTTGAATAGAAAATTACTTAGCTTCTTGAAACATGTGGATTGTGTATTTGTATCTTGCAGTAAATGACCTTAAAAATAAGGGTAATACAGTGGTTGTGTTGTTTAAGGCTTTTAAACCACCGCAATAAATTGTTGGCTCCTCGTATCTCCCTATAGGAAAAGAGTTTTAGTTTCTGATTATTGTTTTGTTATGCTGTGAGTTTTCGGTAATTTTGTTTATAACTTGGCCCCTAGATCAATAGAAGTTGTCAACAATCAATACTATCTTGATTTCCTGTTACATCTTTTGTTCTGTGCCTGTTTTAATTTAATGCTCTGTGTATTGATTAACACTATTTTTGGTGAAGTAAAAGATTTGTTTTCGCATAGGTATTTTGAAGTTGAAGTTTTTAAATAACGGCGTGTATATGAAAATAATATTTTTTTTTTGTGTATTATTTGCTAAATCATATATTCATATATTATTTGTGTATTTTTGTTACCAAACACAATTTTTTTACTTTTTAAATTTCTATTTTGACGTTATTATTGTGAATTGAACCATTTGGCTCTCATGCTGTATTATATAAAAATACTCATGTTTTTTATTGACGTACCTGCCGATTTTCAATCAACTGTTATAATTTTTCACTGCTAAATCCATATGTATACTATTTGCTCTGATCCAATTTGTATATATTTGTTGTTCTTATGTTTTCAATTACACGGAACTCCAGGTATGAATATCGATGGGCAGATGGTGTGCAAATTAAGAAACCTATTGAGGTATCTGCTCCAAAGTATGTAGAATATCTGATGGACTGGGTTGAAACACAGCTTGATGATGAATCTATATTCCCTCAGAAGCTTGGTAAATACTTAACATTTTCTTATTCCAAAGATTTTTATACCCTGTCATCACAATTATTGTTTTCATTATTAGACCTGTGGGATCATGATGCAGGTTCTCCATTTCCTCCCAACTTTAAGGATGTGGTGAAGACAATATTCAAGCGTCTGTTCCGTGTATATGCTCATATTTATCATTCTCACTTTCAGAAAATTGTGAGCCTCAAAGAAGAGGCTCATCTAAACACCTGCTTCAAGCATTTTATACTCTTCACTTGTGTAAGTCTTAAAACATTCTTTACTCGATTTTGCTATGCACTAAACTAAGCTCTTTGGCTTGCGAACATATATCTATCTGATACCGTTAATGTTATTGTTTGTGCAGGAGTTTGGGCTGATTGAAAAAAAGGAACTGGCTCCACTTCAAGAGCTTATAGACACCATTATATATTAAAGTTATGAATTGTGAAATATCTTATTTAGGCATCATAAACTATGTATGTGTATTACTCTAGTCAGAGACTGGTTTTTAATATCTGACTTGAGACATTCTCCTTGTATGTTCTGTGTTGAATGAGTTTGGGAACTGGGTCTAAGTTATCCTCCATCACAGAAAACTCACATAAAGTATAAAAAAATATGCAATGTGTGACTTTAAAGTATTGGCTATTGTTTGCAACTGAAAACCGTACTTCATGTTCGATGTTTTGGTGATGTTTTGGTGTGAATTTGGAAGGCTTTTTCTAATATTTTCATTGCCTATAATAGTATGGTAGTTGCATAGACATTTTTAATTGGTTAAAGACCATGGGCTGTTTGTTTTTACTTTTTAAAAAATAGATGTTTTTTTTTGTATTTCAAAAAAAGATTTTTATATATTTAAAAAAAAATACTAAAATCTATTTAAATTTACTTTATAAATTAAAATAATTAATTGTGACATCTAATAACATAAATAATCCTTTCAAAAAAATCATAAATATTATTATTGGAGTTTAAAACTTTGTCAAAATCTCATAATTTTTCATATAACAATTTATAATAATATAATAAAAGTATCTAAAATAACAGTTTAAAAAATTATTTAAATCAATTTTTTATTTGATATTTTTTTCAGAGGTTTTTAATTTCATTTTAACAAAAATATATAACATTATAAAAATTATTTAAATAAAAATAGAAACGTACTATTGGCCTAAAAGAATTACACATAAACTTTGTCTAAGGAAATATAAGAAAAAAGTATATGTATTTGATACAGTGTATTATATTTTACTTAGATTTAAGGTCAAAGGGATTATATATTTTTTCATTCGAGGGAAAAAAATATTAAGTTATATTTGGCAATTAGCTGTATTTGGCAGGCATATTAGATTTTTATTTGACAGTATCATTACAGCTGTATATAAGTTAATTGCCAAATATGGCTTAATAAAAAAAAAAGCAGTCAAACATATTATTTGTGTTAAAAATCTCATTTAATATGGAATATTTCAGTAGAATGTGTTGCATACTTACATTTGAAAACCTATATAATATTGTAGACCATTATTCAATAATGCTACAAAGTAATAATAATTTTAAACATACCAATAGTTTTTTTTTAAAATCCATATTTAAAAATTTATATAAATTGTTCACAAATTTTAATTCAAATGACAAAAGTCGATATTACAAAGTTGAATGTTATTATTAAATTTTAAATATTAGTACTCACGTATTTGAGTTTCTAGTAAATATTACTATTTTATTTACCGACAAAAAAAAGTTATATAAATCATATAAAAATAATTACAATTCTTATTTTATGAATGGAATTATAAATTAAAATTTTTAAAAAGTCAACTTTTATGTTATTCCTTAAAAATTTATCTAGACAATAATTATTATTTTATAAAATTTTCAATTTCTCTATAATCTACTTTTTTATTTTTATTTTTTATAATTTAAGTGATTAATTATTTATATAGAGATATGAATAACTTTTATGTAAAATACTCGTTTATAAAATACTCAATTTACTTGTTCAATATATTAGTAAGTTAAAATTATATAGAACAATAATACTTTTATTTATGTGAAAAAATATTGATTTGATCTTTTTATTTAAAAAATATATTATATAGATTTGACTTTTAATGTTCAATTATTATGTTATTCCTTTTAACATTTTTACTCATGACAATTTAGGAAATTGTTCTATTTTTATGAAAATGTTCATTTCTTTATAATTTATTGATTTAATTCTAATTCACGAGATTGATCCTTACGTTAAATTTCAACAATTTTAGCATCCTCTTCTACTTTACACTTAAAATTAACAATAATTTTAACTTTTAAATGACAAATTTATATATATATATATATATATATATATATATATATATATATATATATATATATATATATATATATATATATATATATATATATATATAAGATAAAAACGAATTTCTTATCAATTTTCTATGAAAAACGTTTGAAAAGGATGAAATGGATGTAAATTGTTGAATCGACTTCAATCATACATTAATGTAAATAAATCATTCTATTTATAAATCAACAATTAAAGAAAAACTGTAATCTATTTTATTGTATAATTTGGAAAATAAACATTTTAATAAATTTAATTGAAATATACAAACAGTGTAAAGAAATTTTACATCGTCAATAAATCATACCTGTTAGATTAAAAATTATATTTAATTTTTATTTTAATTATTTATAAAATAGTATTTATGAATGATTATAATGTATAAATTATTTTACACCAAAAGTACATAATAATTAATCTTTATTTTAATATAAATATGAATAAATTTTCATATGAAATAGTCAATTTAATTCTTTAATATAATAGTTGATTGAGAATATAATAATGGATTAATTGCTATACACCTTAACTGTAAAACTTTTTACACAGTCAATATATCACAACTACTTATTAATATTATTTAATAAATAATTAAAGTAAAAATAAAATATAATTTATAATCTATAGCCATGATTCATTAATGATGTAAAACTTCTTTACACTATCGGCGTATTTCAATTAAATTTTATAATAATTTAAAATTTAGCATGAAAATTAAGGCTTTATACATTTTTTTTTTTAATTTGAAAACTCAACAATTTACAATGTTAAGTATAATGTTTGTAATTTTATTTGCCTTTTTTTAATGATAATACGTTAAAGTTATTTGTCTTATTCTTGAATTTGTATCAGTTTCGTGTGTGTCAATGTTTCAGATATGCAAGAGTGGTGACTTAACTTTCTCTTACAGAGATTGTTGGAATCATATGAATCAGGTTAGGAAAAAGAATTTAGATGATGGAGATGCTCAAGCACTTTTTAATTATTGACGAAAGCAAATTGAAAACTCTAACTTTTTTTTATGCAATTCAATGTGACGATGATTCTGGAATGGTAAACTTTTTTTGGATTGATGCTAAATCAAGACTAGCTTACCAAACTTTTGGAGATGTAATAACTTTTGATACGACGTATAAAATAATCATTGTCAATCAATTATATGAGTTCATGGGCATATTATGTAGACATATACTTGTGATATTTCAAGCAAAAGGTGTGGTTCAAATCCCTGATCATTTCATTTTGCAACGTTGGGCTAAAAATGCTAATAAAGGAATTGAGTTTGGTGATACTAGTTATGGTTTTAATACTCACTCTGATACGTCTAAGATTTTAAGAAGGGTGCATACACAACAAGTAGCAAATGCTTTAGTTGATCTTGCTGAAGAATCAAATGAGATTTATGAATTCATTATTTCTGAGTTAAGTAACTACTTTGGAGTCTAGCCAAAATAATATGAATGGCACTTTGTTGCCTAACCAAGGAAGTGAAGCTGCACAAGTGCTACTTGGAGACCCACATATATCACAAACAAAGGGGACGAGAAAGGAAAAAGTGACTCAAAATAGTATATATATGAAATGATTTTATATTTAGTAAAATTTTTCATGAATTATACATGAGATGAGAAAATAAAAAATGCACCCCGTTTAAAATAGTTATACTCTAACATTGAATATAAATCACAATTATGTTTTGAAATTAGTTGTATGATACAGTAAAATGATGTTTTTTTATTGAAATGATTTAAGATTAGTTGATTTAATTAGTGGATTCAACATATCAAATGATGGGTGTGTGACGTATAGCCTAAATATAGTACTGCAAGTGCACAGCCTATCGAAGTAATATATAAGATTATCGAACCATAGAGACCAATTGTCAATCTATCAACTCTATTGCTAAGGTGCTTATCTAAGGCGAACAAGAATATTGATGTGAGTGCAGTGCAACAAAGTAAGTGAGCGAAGTAAATAACAGTTTAAAAGACAGGTTGGAATGTAAATCATGTAATCAGATATTGGTCCGGTCATGCGTAGATGAAACTACTTATGGGGCAGTATTTTCTATTGATAGCAAAAAATCAATTTAACGGGAACTTGTAGCTTTTGACTACTAAGAACCGAGTTTACTCTTTAAATTAAATTCCTTTATTGTCACATATAAAGGGTGCCTTCCGCGTTAAAGAGGTAAACCTATTTTTAAGAAATTGATGGTTTTGACTTAACAGAAAAGTAATTTTACTTGGAAAGATTAACTTAAAGAGACTTTTGGCTTTTGACCAAGAGTCAGATTTCAAACCTACAAACGCGTCCGAAAATAGTTTCAAAATCGTTTTCTAAAAAGGTCAATGATTCCTATTTAACCAATCAACGGCTTTCGCTCTTTTTGTTTGGTTAAATAATAATCAAGTCGTATCATTAGTTTGGACGGCTTTCGATCTTACCCAATAAACATTTAAACATAATTGACTTAAGTTAAAAGCAAAACATCCCCAGAGTATTTTCACTAGCATGATAATTGGAACATGACCATGATGACAATCATTACATCCAAACCTTTATAGTTTAGCCAGACATAATAAGTGCGAGTCTATAAAACGTGTAGACTATGGTAAGAGCATTTAGAGTCTATAAAACGTGTAGACTATGGTAAGAGCATTTAAAGTCTATAAAACGTGTAGACTATGGTAAGAGCATTTAGAGTCTATAAAACGTGTAGACTATGGTAAGAGCATTTAGAGTCTATAAAACGTGTAGACTATGGTAAGAGCATTTAAAGTCTATAAAACGTGTAGACTATGGTAAGAGCATTTAAAGTCTATAAAACGTGTAGACTATGGTAAGAGCATTTAGAGTCTATAAAACGTGTAGACTATGGTAAGAGCAATTATAAGTAAAGAAATGCAATAAATTAGAACCTTGCTCCAGTCGGAGACTTGAATCTGATACAAATCTGCGGAATGGTAAGGCTGGTATGATAAACTTCAACCAAAGTGCTCCAAGACTCGATTACAACTCAATCTACACCGCAATAACTCCCCGATGTGAAGAGATTATTACTTTACAGAAACTGATAG